GCTGAGTGGCATGGCCACACACACACACACACACACACACACATTACAATTTATTTTTGTTAAAGTTACTTTAAGCCCACAAAGCAATAAAGTTTAAATTCTTTTCAGCAATAAAAGGGAGCGTCATGTATTTTATTTCCTGAGTACAGAACTTCTTTTAAAAATGGAGAAGAGGTGGGAGAGGGGTTCAGGATGGGGAACACATGTAAATCCATGGCTGATTCATGTCAATGTATGGCAAAAACCACTACAATATTGTAAAGTAATTAGCCTCCAACTAATAAAAATAAATGGAAAAAAAAAATGGAGAAGACTATTTGTTTCTGATTCCCGTACTTTATATAGAGATTATCAATGAGGAAAAAGTTTATTTCTATTTTATAGTATTTTTAACACTTTTTCTTTCAAAGTAAATTTGGCCATTCTATTTTGATACACATTTGATGTATGGCTGTGAGAGTTGGACTGTAAATGTACATCACATGTATGGATGTGAGAGTTGGACTATACTATAAAGAAAGCTGAGCACTGAAAAACTGATGCTTTTGAACTGTGGTGTTGGAGAAGACTCTTGAGAGTCCCTTAGACTGCAAGGAGATCCAACCTGTCAATTCTAAAGGAAATCAGTCCTGAATATTCATTGGAAGGACTGATGCTGAAGCTGAAACTCCAATACGTTGGCCAGCTGATGCGAAGCACTGACTCATTGGAAAAGACCCTGATGCTGGGAAAGAATGAAGACAGGAGGAGAAGGGGATGGCAGAGGATGAGATCATTGAATGGCATCATTGACTCGAAGGACATGAATATGAGGTAAGCTTCAGGAGTTGGTGATGGACAGGGAAGCCTGGTGTGCTGAAGTCCATGGGGTTGCAAAGAGTCAGACAAAACTGAGTGACTGAACTGAACTGATGTTGATACATGTCAATCAATAAAAAAGTGCTGTGATATATTTGAGTTACATGTTTCTATGGAAAGAATTCAAAATATGAATTTGTTCTCCTTAATTTTGGATCTAGTCCATAAAGTAGCAGCATAAGGCATTCTGAAAACACACAGAACTACCGGGTTTGCTGTATGTAGGATCTAGTTCCCCAACCAGGGTTCAAACCCAGGCCCCCTGCATTGGGAGTGCCTGGAGTCTTAGTCACTTGACCACTAGGGAAGTCCCAGTGTTTGTGATTTTATCTCTATCGTACTGTGAATGGTAGTTTCTTGAAACCCCAATCTGCCTTGTTCTGTGGGTAAAAACTAAGCTATGACTTTACAGCCGTAACCCTGTGAGCCTACCTACTGCAGGCCCTATAGAGTCCCAAACATCTGTCCACTTTGATAGCACTGTTCATTTCAGCCGCCGACTTCTCAAGTCCTAGAAGAGCACCCCGGGGGCCCATTAAGAGCTCCATCAATATCATGGATACCACTTTGAGCCTTATTGTTTTCCCAGGGTTCAGATGTCCCTTTTTATACATTTTTTCCTATAATAAATTATCAGATAATATTTATCATCAAATAAAGACTCAGATAGGAAATGGAATATAAGCACAGAGATTATCTCATAAGGTCTCTGAATTCCATCAATCAGGTTCATAGCTGTAGAAAAGGTTCCATGTTTCCAACAGTAAAATGACAACTGCATTCTATGGGTTTCCATTATTCTCAGGAAGAGCACTATTTTGCCTGCCATCTGCATTCTAATGGTTCCTCTTAATGAACCACTTTGTGATTTTACCAAGTCACCAACCTACTCGGTTTTACCCATTGCTATGTTGCAGGGACTATGAAGATAGATCACATTAAGCAATGGTTTCTGAACTTTAATATGATAACTGGGTGCCACCCTGAGAATTTCTGATTTAGTAGATATTCAGCAGGGGTAGAGAATTTGCTTTTATAACAAATTTCCAGGCAATTCTGATGCAGCTCGTCCATGAACCACTGAAAGAAAGCATATTTATCTATAATAGAATTTGCATAGTTCTTTCCCCCTTTTGCCTTCATTGACAGGTTAAGAAAAAAGAAATAGATTTAATAAGTATTATACAGAAGGCAAGTTGTTTCATTTTACTTAATTCTCACAACACCCTACAACATAATTATTACCTTATTTTATGGATAAGCCTGTTAAACCTTAAGCATTAAATGGCCTGCCCAGGATTATACAGTGGGGACATGGTGCACAAATGTAAGTTTGGCCAAACTCCAAAATCTAGTCTATGCTCTGTGTTTCAGCAGTGTCTGGCCAACACAATTATGTTAGCTGAAAGTTTTAATACTTTCTACAGAGTGGTTTGTCTTCTACTTTAATTCTTAGTCCATTAAAAAAAAATTCTTATTGCTTTAAGCTAATCTAAATTATCTTTAGAAATCTGAGTGTACTTTTAAACACAAGAGAGCTTAAGGTAATTACTAATAGGAAGATGTTATGAATTGACTGTACTTTCCAAACCAAACAGTAATATAGGTAACGTGATCAATATGACCAAAATTTGTAGAAAAAAGCTTGGATTAATTAAAAAAGGTCCAAAGCATTCCAGTTAGTGTAGGCATGCATGATCCATATACTAAGGCATTACTTAACATGCATGCATTTTGGAGTTAGTGCTAGAAAATAGGAATTTTTTTTTTTAACCTTTCTCTGTTACTCTTCCAGTTCAAACAGAGTGGTTAATTTGAATTATACAACTAGTGAAACATTGGCATCACACCAGTTCCTGATGTCTTGCTTTACTACTTGGTTTTAAAATAATGTTCAAATCCATATGGACCGAGAAATATATTTTGAACTAGCAGGCAAAGAAAGGCTGCCTAATTACAGGCTGAGCCCCCTGATCTTTTCAAATGATCATTGTTCTGACTTAATTAACACGAACTAAAACAGTCCTGAAACAACAGGGCACACTCCCATTAGGATAAATTACTCAGACCTACTCACCGCAGCCAAGCATTCCCCGGAGAAAAATCTGTCACTGCTTTTTCCACCTGCACTACATCTCTTTTCAAAGGGCTCTGCTGCAGCTGGGAGACCCTCTGAAGGGACATCTGCTCTGTATTGAAATCTCTGCGTTTGGAAGAGATGTGGACCATGAATAAAGGGTGGAGAAAAACCCATGGTCGATAGAGCCATGACCTAGAGGCTTAGTAGCATGCTTGCCTACGATACAGTTTTATTCTCATCTCCCATTTTCCGTGTGAATATTTAAAAGTTTGCTGTTGCTGGTCCCAAAAGAGGGAAGAATGGAAATATTCAGCAGAAAAATGCTATTTCCTTAGCAGGGTTCATAAGCTGAGCATCACTAGTTCATTAAGAGCCTGGATTTTGGAGTCAGGCCAACCTAGTTTTGCCCCTTAAGAGGCAAATGCTGGGCCACTTCCTTCTTCCTTCAGCCTTGATTTCCTTGTCCATCAGGTGGTAAACTCAGTGCTACCATGTCATAGGCTTCATGATCCACAGATGTTGGCCATTTGGACCCATGTCAGTCAATAAATAAAAGATTATTCTCAGGACTGCCCTGGTGGTCCAGTGGTTAAGAATCCATCTTGCAATGCAGGAGACACAGGTTTGATTCCCTGGTTAGGGAATTAAGAGCCCACATGCAACAGAGCAACTCAGCCCACACACAACTGAGGCCTGACACAGCCAAGTAAACAAATAAGAAAGCAAGAAAAGATTATTCTCCACAAGCTTGCTTTAGTTTTGTGACAATGTCTGCAAAGGAGCTATAGTTGTCTCTTCATCGGGAATGAAATCATGTTTAAACCTAAAGCAATATAAATACATTTATTTCTTAGCTTATTGCAATTTTTAGCCATTCTTCACTTGGTAATAACATTTCTCTTGAAAGTCCCTTGGATAGCAAGGAGATCAAACCAGTCAATCCTAAAGGAAATCAACCCTAAATATTCACAGGAAGGACTGATGCTGAAGCTTCATTACTTTGGCCACCTGACACAAAGAGCAGACTCGTTGGAAAAGACTGTGATGCTGGGAAAGATTGAGGGCGGGAGGAAAAGGGGGTGACAGAGGATGAGATGGTTGAATGGCATCTCTGACTCAACGGACATGAGTTTGAGCAGACTGTGGGAGTTAATGAAGGACAGGGAAGCCTGGCGTGCTGCAGTCCATAGGGCTGCAAAGACTGGGACGTGACCTAGCGACTGAAGAGCAACAACAATAACTTTTCTTCCCCAATTGTTAAAGGTCACAGATGGTGAATGAGTGCTTTCTATGTCCTCCAGTAATTCTGTTTGGTGCTAAACAAACTATTAACAGACATTTGTCAGTTGACAAGGGAGCGGTAGAAACTAAGGGTTTAAAAAATGAATTCAGGGGACTTTCCTGCTGGTTCAGTGGTTAAGAATCCACCTTCCAATGCAGGGGACACGAGTCCCACACTTGGTGGAGGAACTAAGATCCCATGTGCCACAGGGCAACTAAGTCCAAGAGCTGCAATGAAGACTCAGTGCAGCCAAAAAAAGAGTTCAAATAAAATGGGAGCTTAGTTCATGTCTGAACACATACTAATGAAGCTCTGGCTTGAATGGATTTTTTAAGAATTTATTCTGTTAAGAAATATAACAGGGGATGGCCACAGACATATTACAATCAGGAGCTGAGACAAATAGTAGAGAAAAATCCTTTTTTTTTTTATTTTTCAATCAAGAAACCAAAGACTCTGCTTCCTAGTCCCTGAAATGAAATAGTCCCTTTCAGGGCTGATGTTGTGTTTCCAGACCTTTACACACTGTTAACCATCAGCCTTTCACTCCTTCTAGGTGAATTCACCCAAACTCCATTCTTGTTAGAAACCGTGAAAAATCATTCCTGCCAAAGCTGTTAAAACTACAGACTTAATAAATCTGGTAAATTCTACTGCTTGGTCAGTTCCATTATTCTGTTTCTGATCTCAATATAACTACCACTGGTTTGTGAGATATACCCATGAACACGAGAAACATCAAGACACATCTAGAGGCCTTGTCCTCAGACATTCTGAGGGCTAGCAATCTTCATGAGACTTCACGTGGGACTGGAAGGCTTCCTGATCTGAGAAGGTTTTTCCACAGGTGTTACAGGGAGAGCCATCATCCTCCTTGTGCGAGCGCCGGACATGGCTGTCGTGAGCAGCGTGCGATGCAAAAGATTTACCACAGTACTTGCATTTGAAGGGCTTCTCCCCGGAGTGCTGCCTGATATGCGTGCGGAGTATACTAGAGGCAGTGAATTTCTGCGGAGAACAGAAAGCAGAGGAAAAAATAAAATACCATCCACCTGTGAAACAAAGGAGTTAATTTCATTGTGACCGATCCTTGGTGTTGTTTAGTTGCAAAGTTGTGTCTGACTCTTTTGCAACGCCATGGACTGTAGCCTACCAGGCTCCTCTGTCCCTGGGATTCTCCAGGCAGGAATACTAGAATGGGTCGCCATGTCCTCTTCCAGGGGATCGTCATGACCCAGGGATTGAACCCACATTTCCTACACTGGCAGGCGGATCCTTTACCCCGAGCCACCTCAGAAGCCCCCACTGATCCTGACATCACCCTTTAGTTCTCCAGTCAACAAATCCTGGGCTTTAATGCTATAGGGCACTCTTGGTCACCAGAAGTAGCCTTAATAAGGACATGATGGACATGCCACTGGTTACAACAGTGGTCCTTCAATGGCTAAGATCACCTGGGTGTCTAGTCAAAAATGCAGGTTGACCTGATAAGTATGCTCTTTAGGGTAAGAAGGCAGCTGCATTTAAGCAGGTGGTACTGAGATCACACTCCAGGATGATCTGCATTATGGAAGGAATTGCTAACATTGGCCACTGTCTTTGCATACATGGGTACCTTATTGGTTTCTTTCTTCCTTTTTTTTTTTAGTTAAACCTTTAGAGTAATAGTGATTCATATGCAGTTAGAAGAAACAATAGAGATTCTGGTACCCTTTACCCAGTTTCCCCAATGGTTGCACCTTACAACTATAGAATAATATCACAACCAGGATGTCGATATTGAAAGAGTCAAGAAAATCAGAGATACCAAGGGAACATTTCATGCAAAGATGGGCACAATAAAGGACAGAAATGGTATGGACCTAGCAGAAGCAGAAGATATTAAGAAGAGGTGGCAAGAATATACAGAAGAACTATACAAAAAAGATCTTCATGTCCCAGATAACCACAATGATGTGATCACTCACCTAGAGCTAGACATCCTGGGATGCGAAGTTAAGTGGGCCTTAGAAAGCATCACTACGAACAAAGCTAGTGGAGGTGATGGAATTCCAGTTGAGTGATTTCAAATCCTGAAAGATGATGCTGTGAAAGTGCTGCACTCAAAATGCCAGCAAATTTGGAAAACTCAGCAGTGGCCACAGGACTGGAAAAGGTCAGTTTTCATTCCAATCCCAAAGAAAGGTAATGCCAAAGAATGCTCAAACTACCGCACAATTGCACTCATTTCACACGTTAGTAAAGTAATGCTCAAAATTCTCCAAGCCAGGCTTCAACAGTACGTGAACCCAGAAGTTCCAGATGTTAAAGCTGGATTTAGAAAAGGCAGAGGAACCAGAGATCAAATTGCCAACATCTGCTGGGTCATCAAAAAAGCAAGAGAATTCCAGAAAAACATCTATTTCTGCTTTACTGATTATGCCAAAGTCTGACTGTGTAGATCACAACAAACTGTGGAAAATTCGTCAAGAGATGGGAATACCAGACCACCTGACCTTCCTCTTGAGAAATCTGTATGCAGGTCAAGAAGCAACAGTTAGAACTGGACATGGAACATCAGACTGGTTCCAAATTGGGAGAGAGTACCTCAAGGCTGTATGTTATCACCCTGCTTATTCAATTTCTATGCAGAGTACATCATGTGAAATGCTGGACTGGATGAAGCACAAACCTGAATCAAGATTGCCAGGAGAAATATCAATAACCTCAGATACGCAGATGATGCCACCCTTATGGCAGAAAGTAAAGAGGAACTAAAGAGCCCCTTGATAAAAGTGAAAGAGGAGAGTGAAAAAGCTGGCTTAAAACTCAACATTCAAAAAACTAAGATCATGGCATCTGTTCACATCACTTTATGGCAAATAGATGGGGAAACAATGGAAACAGTGAGAGACTTTATTTTTGGGGGCTCCAAAAATCACTGCAAATGGTGACTGCAGCCATGAAATTAAAAGACGCTTCCTCCTTGGAAGAAAAGTTATGACCAACCTAGACAGCATATTAAAAAGCAGAAGCATTACTTCATTACATTGCCAACAAAGGTCCGTCTAGTCAAAGCTATGGTTTTTCCAGTTGTCATGTATGGATGTTAGAGTTGGACTATAAAGAAAGCTGAGCACAGAAGAATTGATGGTTTTGAACTGTGGTGTTGGAGAAGACTCTTGAGAGTCCCTTGGACTGCAAGGAGATCCAACCAGTCCATCCTAAAGGAAATCAGTCCTGAATATTCATTGGAAGGACTGATGCTGAAGCTGAAACTCCAATACCTTGGCCAGCTGATGCGAAGCAGGGACTCATTGTCAAAGACCCTGATGTTGGGAAAGATTGAAGGTGGGAGGAGAAGGGGACAACAGAGGATGAGATGGTTGGATGTCATCACAGACTCAATGGACATGAGTTTGAGTAAGCTCCAAGAGTTGGTGATGGACAGGGAAGCATGGCATGCTGCAGCCCATGAGGTTGCAAAGTGTCAGATGTGACTGAGCGACTGGACTGAACTGAACTGAACATTTCCATCACAAGGACCCTCATGTTGCCCTGTGACAGGCACATATAGTTCCCTTCCACTCCTACTTTTAAGCCATTGCAACCACTAATCTGTTCTCCATTTCTGTAATTTTATTATTTTGAGTATGTTATGTACATGGAAGCATAGAGTGTAACCTTTTGGGATCGGCGGTTCTCCACAGTATTTTTTTTGCAGATTCACATAAGTTGTTTCATGTACAACAGCTCACCCTTTATTTTAAAAACTATTTATTTATTTATTTTTGGCTGTGCTGGGTCTTCGTTGCTGCGAGGCCCTTTTCTGTAGTTTCGGAGAGTGGGGACTACCCTCTAGTTGTAGTGCTCAGGCTTTCCACTGCAATCTTATCTTGTTGTGAAGCACAGGCTTTAGGTGCATGGTTTCAGTAGTTGTGGCATGTAGGCTCACTAGTTGCGGCTTCTCGGCTACATAGCACAGACTCAATATTTCGGGCACACAGGCTTAGTTGCTCGGCAACATATGGGATCTTCCTGGACCACGGATCATTTCCGTGTCTCCTACACTGGCAGGTGGATTCTTTACCACTGTACCACCAAAGAAGCCCCAGCTCACCCATTTTGATCGCTGAGAAGAATTCCATGGTGTGGATGTTCCAGTCTGTTTAATCACCTACCCATGGAATGGTATCTGAGTTATTTCCAGTTTGAGGTTTCTATGAATAAAGCTGCTATTAATATTTGTGTACAGGTTTTGGCATGAGCACATAAACTTTCACTGCTCTGGGATAAATGCCCAGGAGAGCAATTGTGGGGTTGAATGGTTGTTACAAGTTTAGTTCTTAAACTGTCAAACAGTTTTCCAGGGCAGTTCTACTATTTTAGGTTCACAAGTACTTTGCTGTTTTTACATGGCCATTTCGTTTCTTTCCCTCACTTATAACCTTTCCTCTAATTCATTTCAGTACTCTGCTCTGATCTTTGTCACTTTCGAAGTGACATCTCTCTATTTATTAGAGATGTAATGACCCCAATTTGGGAGTCTGCTGACAGTGACACAAAACCCCAGGTTAAACCAGTGACCTTGGAGTTTCAGGACTGGGTCCATGTGGGGTTGCTCAGTAAGGAGCACAAGGTGTAGGTGCCGAGGACACTCAGATAAGCACAGTCTCCTTCAGCTTAGGTGACAGGAGTCTAACTAGAAGTCAGAACCTCAGGGCTTCCCTCTGGCTCAATGGTAAAGAGTTCTAACTGCCAAATGCAGGAGACGTAGGTTTGATTGCTGGTCTGGGAAGATCCCACATGCCTAGGAGTAACTAAGACTGTGCGCCACAATTATTGAGCCTGTTCTCTAGAGCCTGAAAGTTGCAATTACTGACCCCATGGGCTGCGACTACTGAAGCTTGTGAGCCCTAGAGCCTGTGCTCTGCAACAAGAGAAGCCACTGAAAGGAGAAGCCTGTGCACCACAGCTAGAGAGTAGGTCCTGCTTGCCACAACTAGAGAAAAGCCTGTGTAGCCACGAAGACCCAGCAGAGCCAAAAATAACTAACTAGCTAAAAAAAAAAAAATCGGAACATCAAACAGCTCATTTATGACCCAAGTGCATTGAGTCACACCTTTGGGCATCTTTCATTTCCAGATTAGCCAGAAATTCAAGGTGAGGATCAGAATTAGAACGCCAGGAAGAGGAGGAGGGGCGATGGGATATTTTGAGCCTGCTCTGGAAATCTGGCAGGAGAACATTGATCCTTCCTTGTCTAGACAAATCCAGAGCCACCCTCCTTAGGTCTGTGCTAGCTGCACATTGTCTAGTTATGTCTTAGCCCCAATTTGCTACACTGATTATTTCCATTCTATTGACACAGTTTCTTTGGTGGTATCCATTTCCCTAAGCCGGGCAGTTTTATTCCTGCTTTATTCCTCTTTGGGAAGTTTAAAAGTCACCTTGCTGATGCTAAGTCGCTTCAGTCATGTCTGACTCTGTGCGACCCCATAGACAGCAGCCTACCAAGCTCCCCCATCAGGCAAGAATATTGGACTGGGTTGCCATTTCCTTCTCCAATGCATGAAAGTAAAAAGTGAAAGTGAAGTCGCTCAGTTGTGTCTGACTCTTAGTGACCCCATGGACTGCAACCTACCAGGCTCCTCCGTCTGTGGGATTTTCCAGGTAAGAGTACTGGAGTGGGGTGCCATTGCCTTCTCCGAAAAGTCACCCTAACAGAGACTATATTTCTTTCATGGCTATATTATTTTATTTAAAAAAAATAAATGGCTTGATGACAGAAATAACAGATTCCAGTGTATCCAATAAGAATTTCTAAAATGATGGAAATGTTATGTCTGTGCCAATGTGGTGGTCACCAGCCATCAATGGTGGGACTGTTGAGCACTTGAAATGTGGCTAGTGCCACCCGGATACTAAATTTTATTTCATTTTTAGTAAATTAAATAGCCACATATGGTTAATGGGTAACTACACATTGGACAGCCCAGATGTACCTCATCGAAATAGGACATGAGATGTTTTGGTATAATATTTTTAAAGCGTGGTCAAACTTTTGTTCCTAACCCAGCAACCCCTAACCACGATATATTTGTCTCTTCAGTTTTATAAATTAGTATTCTGTTTAACAAGATTAGATGCTACTTCAGCAAAAGTGCTCTGGAAACCAAGATCAGCAAAATTTAAGAATCTGTACTTAAAAAAAAAAAGGCAGTCTGTACTTCATGTCTGTTATCATTGTAATCCTATAAATTTAGGGTCCATTTCATAACAAATGCCTTAAGTGCCAATTTGGCAATAGTAGGTTGTATCCGATCATTGTAAGCAAATATGAATATAATCTGGGGTGGAAATTGGGGATGGGCTAATGAATTAATTTACCAGGGACTCATTATAAGCCAGGGTTTGTTCTATGAGTTCTTATCCATGGACACCCAAACAGGTCTCAAGGCAGATTCCTTAAAAGAAGGTTCCACTGAGACTTTCCCGGCAGTTTAGCGGTTAAGACTCTGCCCTTCCATTGCAGGGAGATGAGATTGACCCCTGGTCGGGGAACTAAGATCCCACGTGCTGTGTGCGGTGCACTGTGTGGAGTGGGGCAAAAAAAAAGAAGGTTCCATTTACCTTAGTACAATACACACAGTGGTAGGGTCTGTCTCCAGAGTGGACTCTCATGTGTTTGTTTAGACTGGAAGATTGAGAGAAACATTTCCCGCATGTGGAACACTAAGACAGAAAAGAAAAATAGAGTTGAAACCACAGTTTCCCCCTAAGAAGTTAACTTCACCATGTTTATCTCGGGCGGTGGTGACGGTGGGGGAGAACTACTATATTTATCCTGTGCAAATCTGTAGGCAAAGGATCAAGCAGACGCAGGCTGAGGGTCTAGTTGAGACAGGTGACGGCATCATGGGACTCTGGGGAAGAATCCGACACCACATTCTGGTCCAGAGCCTACTCAGTGCTGTGGCTCCAAGCAATTCCTCAAAAGTCCTTGGGTGTCAGCTGCCTAGATATACAACCCTGGTGTGTAACAGAGGCCTCAGTCTGTCCTGCTCTGTCAACAGGTAGCTGTGTGACCAGAACAAATCACTGAAACTCAGAGTCTTTGCTCAGTTTTCCTCATGGGTAAAATACTTGCCCTGCCTTTCTCACAAGGCTGGGAGAAAATTGCAAGCCCTCAGCCATGAATTCACCAAGTATTTATGGAGAACCTCTCCACACTCTGCAAGAAGACAAGGAGTAACAATCTCGTGGGAGTGGGGACAGATATGTAGCCCAAAGTGGCAATACAGGTGACAGATGACGCAAAACATGTACCTACCGAAAAACAGGGCAATTTTGGGTGAGAGCATGCAGTATAGCCAGCCTCCTGCTATAGGAATGAACTGCTATAGGAATGACAGGCATGAACAGTTCCTGTCATTTCTCTGTGTTCTTGCCTCTGATGACTCCTGTCCAATTCTTCTCAGGAATTCTGAACCAGGTAAAAGAAACTACTGGGTTTCTGGACTCTCTTCTGCAGGTGTCCTGATGGGCACACGTGGGAGACTGGGTATTTTTATTATTTTTATTTACTTATTTATTTTAACAATTTTTATTGGAGTAGAGTTGCTTTACACTGTTGTGTTAGTTTCTGATGCACAGCAATATGAGTCAGTCACACGTGTGTGTGTGTGTATATGTATACACACACACACTCTCTTTTTTGGATTTCTTTCCCATTTGGGTCGCCCCAGAGCATTGAGTTCCCTGTGCTACACAGTAGGTTTTCATGAGCATCTATTTTATACATAGTAGTGTATAGTGTTAATCCCAATCTCCCAGTCCACCCCCCTTCTACCTTTGGTATCCATGTCTGCTTTGCAAAAATAGGTTTATCTGAACCATTTTTCTAGATTCCACATATAAGCGATATTATGTTTTTCTCTTTCTGACTTGCTTCACTCTATTTGACGGTCTCTAGGTCTATCCATGTCTCTCTCTGCAAATGAACCTAGGTATTTTTAGATGGTGGGATTTGGGGGTGGATTTTAAAAATCTTCTCTAATTTTTCTTTACTACTTGAAGTTTTAATAAGGAGCATGTATTGACATTGAAAGTGAAGGTTGCTCAGTCGTGTCCAAATCTGTGACCCCATGAACTACAGTCCAAGGAATTCTACAAGACTAATACTGGAGTGGGTAGCCTTTCCCTTCTCCAGGAGATCCTCCCAACCCAGGGATGGAACCCAGATCTCTCACACTGCAGGCAGATTCTTTACCAACTGAGCCACAGGGGAAGCCCATATTGTCATTACTAAAGCAAAAATAGTCAGATGTTAAAGTTAACATTGCAAAAAGAACAGATCAATTTTAAATGAAAGGTAAGCAATTAGAACATGAACCTGTTCTTGGAAATTAAAAATAAACAATGGAAATGTATAGAATAGAAATGCTGTATTCAACAGGCTCAGTGGACTGCTAAAGACTAAAACATGACATGAAAATGAAGGTTGAGAACTCTCAGAGAATGCTGATGAAAAAAATTAAAGGTTTGGTAACGATAACCCTATATGCAAAACAGAAAAAGAGACTCAGATGTATAGAACAGACTTGTGGACTCTGTGGGAGAAGGCGAGGGTGGGATGTTTCAAGAGAACAGCATCGAAACATGTATATTATCTAGGGTGAAACAGATCACCAGCCCGGGTTGGATGCATGAGACAAGTGCTTGGGCCTGGTGCACTGGGAAGACCCAGAGGGATCGGGTGGAGAGGGAGGTGGGAGGGGGGACCGGGATGGGGAATACATGTAAATCCATGGCTAATTCATTTCAATGTATGACAAAAACCACTGCAATGTTGTATAGTAATTAGCCTCCAACTAATAAAAATAAATGAAAAAAAAAATGACATTTAAATACAAAAAAAAAACAAAATAAAAGGCTGAGTAATAAAAAAAAAAAGAAAAAAATTAAAGGTTAATAAGTACAAAGAAGTAGATTCAACCTAACATTTGGCTAAAAGAAGAGAACAAAAATGGAAGATAGATAATAGCCAAGGAAAGTACAAGAGACGGCCTTCCCTGGGGGTCCAGTGGTTAGGACTTCAAGCTTCCACAGCAAGGGTAGGGGTTCAGTCCCTATTTGGGGAACTAAGATTCTGTAGACTGAAAAAGAAACCAAATGGAAAAGAAACTGGGAAAGTGCAGGGGAATTCCTCTGAGCTCAGGATCTGTGCCTTCAGACGGAAAGAATACTTCGTCTTTTACTGACTACAAAGTAGGCAGGGGTGGGGGAAGAAAAAGGAAGGAAAAAAGAAAGAAACATTCAACACATTCTGTTAAAATTTCAGACATAAACTGACAAACCACAAGACAAATACAAACTAGCCAAGAAAATATATCTTATTTTATTTTTTAGATTACTCTTTATCTTAATCACTGAACCACCAGGGGAGGTCTCAGAAAATATATTTTAAAATGTAAACCTCATAAATAACAAAGATGCAAAGCCAAGCAAGATGCCACTTTCCATCTATAAAAATGTGAACATAAGAAGGATAATATTATTGTGGGAGATTTGGGGTTACTGACTACATACACTGCAAGCCCAGCTGGTTGGACTGTCTGGAAAGGTGTGTGGTACCTTAATTCAAGTGCCTTAAAATTGTACCTTGACTCAATCTTTCTACTTCTAGGACTTTACCCCAAAGAGATAATCAGAAATGAAAAACAGAGTGATTTATATATAATATTGTTCGTTGCAACCATACTGGGGGGAAATGCACAAAACAGTGGATTTGTTAAGTACATAAAATCAGTATGACCCCGTGTATTAAAAATATATACACATATAGAAAAAATTATATGTAAAATAACTTTGGGCCGTAGCATACCTAGTGGACTTTGTTTTCTTTTTATCTCCAGCGTATATTATTTTCTCATGTTAAAAATTAAAAACTGCAGATAAAAATTAAAATTTTAAGTTTACCAAGTGAAGACATAAAAATCATGCTTGACTTTATTCTCTATCACACTCCCAGAGAGACTGCAGTTTAATGGTTTCTTTCCAATTGTGTTTCCATTTCTATGTAAACATTATATACAGTATACATGATATTCTGAGTGACATCATTCCATACATATTTTGCAACTTGTTTGTGCTTAATAAGCCAAAATTTATATAACCAATTCCCTATTGATTTACATGTAGAACACTGGATAGTATAACTTTTTACTCTGCCAATCTATAGCTGAGAATAAAGGCTGAATATCAAAGAACCGATGCTTCTGAACTGTGGTGCTGGAGAAGACTCTTAAGAGTCCCTTGGACAGTAAAGAGATCAAACCAGTCAATCCTAATGGAAATCAACCCTGACTATTCACTGGATGGACTAATGCTGAAGCTGAAGGCTCCAGTACTTTGGCCACCTGATGCAAAGAGCAGACTCATTGGAAAAGACCCTGATGCTGATGCTGGGAAAGCCTGAGGGCAGGAGGAGAAGAGGATGACAGAGGATGAGATGGTTGGATGGTATCATTGATTCAATGGACATGAATTTGAGCAAACTCCGGGAGATAGTGGAGGACAGGGAAGCCTGGTATGCTGCAGTCTATGGGGTTGCAAAGAGTTGGACATGACTGAGCAACTGAACAACAATAGGTGAGAAATGATTTCACTGTCTTAATAATTTAAAATATTCTTAGATTTACAAAAACAATTTGAGATAATTGTAAAAATACTCAGATTTTACAGCTGTATATAACAGTGATTGTGATATTTCCAGAAGCTTCGTTGTAAAGAGAAGAGCAGTTTTATTTCTTCAAATGAAGAAAAGTGGGGCTGGTAGGAGTCCTGATGGCACTGAAGTCTAATCTGAATCTGTCGGTCTGTACCCAAGCCCCATCCTCTTTACCCTAATTGAGACCAGTGGTAGTCAGAACTTTCTTGCACCAAGCCTGGCTGAGCCACCACACACCCAGGATGGTAGACAATGGCTCCCTAATGCACTAGTGTTTTTTTCTTCCTTACAAAGTCCCTGGCATAGGACAGAAGCCATCCATCCTTTGGACCATGCCTGTAATTATCAATATAATATGCCTGCACATTGGACCTAGAGATTATCCTACTAAGCAAATTAAGTCAGAAAGTGGAAGACAAACACCATATGATATCACTACTAGGTGGAATCTAAAATATGACACAAATGAAGTTATCTACAAGACAGAAACAGGCTCACAGACAGAGGTCCTTATGGTTGCCAATGGAGAAGAGGGTGGGGGAGGGAAGGATTGGGAGTTTGGGAATAGCAGAGGCAACCTAGTATATATAGGATGGATAGACAACACAGTCCTACTGTATGGCAAGGGGAACTATATTCAATATCCTGTGATAAACCATAATGGAAAGTAATATGAAAACGAATGTATACATGCGTATAACTGAGTCACTTTGCTGTATGGCAGAAATTAGTACAACATTGTAAATCAACTATGCTTCAATAAAACATTAAAAAAAAAAAAGCCTGAACACATTATGGAACAAGGTGTTGTTACCTAAAACCACAGGCCAAGGTCTTTCTCAACTGGGATGTCTCAACCCCCCACCCCAACCCCCAATCAACCCCACCTGGAAATAAACCAGACACTTCCACAGTCCTAGGTTCTGCTCACAGCCACCTGTCTACAAGGCCTTTAATGTCCCACATGTAGGACACTCTTTTTCTGCCCCTGTCTACCATGCATCCGCCAGCTTGAATACCCAGACATCATATCTTGGTCCATGGACCATCACAGTTGGTCCATGTCTGCCTTTTCACAGCACTGTCACCTCCTTCAGAGACCCTGTCCCATCCTCCCATCCCAGTAACTTGCACCCAGGAGGCCTTCGGGGTGCAACCAGGGGTTTGGGGAAGAAGCATGAAGGCAGAGTGCTGGAGAGAGATGGATCGCTGCCCTAACTCTTACCTTGTGAGGCCGATGCTTCTCATGAACGTGAAGGATGTGGATCCGGAGCCGGTCTCTCTTCTCAAAGGATCGTTTGCATAAAGAACAGGGAAATTTCCTGTCACCCTTGTCCACACAGGGCGTGTACTTTAGATGCTTGTCTCTGTAGTATTTGTAGGTAAATACTTTGCCACATCTTTCACACCTGTACCCTTCCGCAGACTCTGTCAAACACAGGGGAAAAAATTTTAAACAAATACCTAAGTCAAAATAATAGAATAAACCCTCTTGGGCCCAAACATCAGGCTTTGACAGTGACTGACACACATCACTTCCCCCCACAATGGATTATTTTTTAATACCGATTTCTCATTTGTTTCATGAACACCTCAGCCCACAATCTTTAATAGATGATGACTTTCGTGGGGGCAAGGCGGCATGTGGGATCTTAGTTCCCCGACCAGGGATAGAACTCGCGTCCCCTGCAGTGGATGTGCAGTCTTAACCACTGGACCGCCAGGCAAGTCCCTGATAACGACTTTTTGAAAAGCATAACCATAAAGCCACTGTCATACCTAACTGTCAAAACCTTATTCCTTAATAGATAGAAACACATATATATTTGTTTATAATACATATACACGCACTTATGTTTGTTAATTTTTTTCAGTCAGTTGGTTCAGCGCAGGATTCAAAGCCTACATGTTGTCCACAGTTACTATGTCTCTTCAATGTCTTAATCTATAGGTTCCTTTTCCTTTTTGCTCCTTAAATATATTTATTGAAGACGCCCTTCCTCCAACCCTATTTATGAGCAGGTCAGTCCTATAGTTACTTCCTAACTGGCCTGTGTTACAAGGTTCATGTACCAAATACCTACTGTATTTGTGATTTTCAGATCAGACTGAGCTACAAGTTCAAGCAGTTCACCCTTTTTGGGCCTTGATGGGCACCCAGAGCTTCTTCCCAGGCTTCATTGAGTGCTGCTCCATTGGATCCCATTTACAAAGACTTAGGTACCCTGTTAGCTAACAATTCATTTCTCTGAGCTTTTGGGGAAGATTCCAGAACTAAAACATGGGGTTATTATGATGACTAATTTAACACTGACACTTACCGAGTTCAAACAACAAGTGACACTATCACTGCGTGACAGATAAGACTGAGAAAGGTAAATCCGTTTTCCCCAGAGGAGGAGAGAGGTGGAGGAGAGGTTAGAGAAGGTGCAGCCAAATCTACCAAAGATGCCAGGCTCAGGGGTGTCTATGTGTTGGGGGGGCAGGGGAGGACTGGGGCCACCTACAAAAGCGTTCCTGCTGAGGACACTCTGGATTCCAGAGGATCAAGTGGTTTTGACTATGAATGCATCAATGAAACCTCATTGCCTCTGCCCCAGGGAGGCAGAGAGCAGCCAGGACTGAGTATCTGCAAGAGTGTGTAGGTGGAAATTTTTTAGTTAGCTTGGGGACAGCAGGAAAGCTATCCACTGGGAGCTTTGTTAGTCAATAACTGTGTCCTAGGCACATTTAACAGGTGGCTAAGGAAAGAAACCATTTTATTAAGTAAATAAGCAGGAAGGCAGCTACCAGCCCCAGGATGATCCATAGCTCAGCCTCGTCTACCGCTTTCATTGAGGTGCTAATACTCCCAGAACCTCCCCGCTGGGACGGTTTTTGCTCGGAGCTAGAATTTTCATTGGTTAGAAATACCTGGCCTTCCTGCTTCCGGGGTGGGAAAGGGGTTGTCTAGAAGGCAGGGTCAGCGGGTCTTTACAAATTAAAGCCCGAAGGCACACCAAAATTCAGAATAGGGGCTAACAGTCAATTTGCATAAGAACCACCACTTAGGCAGAAATGACACAGCACCCTTACTAATTAGGCTTCAGCCGCCTACGTTTTCGGCTCAAGTTCTTAGAAATTTTATCTTAACATAATTTTGTCCTGTTTTCCTTTCCTTCCTCCTCCCTTCCATCTCATTTTTTTTTAGCCAAACGGTTTCCTAAAACTGAAAATGTGCTGGTTTTGCAGTTACAGCAATAAATGTCCATTTTGTGGTTAAAAAAAAAAAAACAAAAAACTGAAAATGATGCTTTCTGCTCCACCTAGACAATTCTTTAGATAGAGTTTAGATTAAGAACTGTCTACACATTCCACACCCCCACCCCCCAAAGCACACACTGGGAGGGTCTGCAAACTGAAGATAACCCGCCCACATAGGGCCCAGACCCTTACCTCCCATTCAAGACCTTAAAGGGGAAGGCTCCCACCAAGTCTCAAGGAAAGGCTTGGATAAAACAAAAACAAAAAGTTTCTTTTGAGAGGATAGAAGAACGTTGACTTTTCTTTCCTTTTAATTCTATTCCCAACCATTCTCATTAACAGAAAACCATGAATTTATCCATTAGTCTTCCCAGCCAACTGAGTTGTTTACAAGTTCTCTGTCACAAGTTATGGTAAATACATAAGACTGCATGTAATAAGCATCAGATATAATTTGGTTCAGAAGTGTAATACAGGGACTTCTCTGGTGGTCCAGTGGCTAGGACTCTAGGCTCCCAATGCCAGGGACCTGGGTTCAGTCCCTAGGTGAGGGCACTAGATCCCAAGTTCTGCTAAAGAACCTGCATGCCACAACTATGATCCAGTGAAGCCAAATAAATATTTAAAAAAAGAAAGAAGTGTAGTACAGGTGGGGGTACTATACCAGGTACTACACCTGCTGGGGTTTCTCCCCACCCCACTGACCATTGTAAGCCCTTATCCCTGTTGCTTATGATTGTGATCTCTGATGTCATGCCAATATACCATCATTTACTTAATAATTATTCTACTATTGGGCACTTATTTGTGACTTTTCACAAATAAGAATGATGCTGTATTAAAAATCCCTGTGGACAAAGCTTTTCCTATTGGAGTATTTCCTAAAGATAAATTTCCAGAAGAGTATTACTGATACATCAAAGGTTATGAATGTTTTAATAGCTCTGATACATAGTGCTGAATAACTTTTCAAAAAGATAATGATCCTATTTTCTAAGTTGTCAAGCATGTATCTTTCTCAAATCCATTTTGAACTTGTTTCAACAGTGCTTGGGACCTTTTGGGAAGTGACTAAAAAGGCTTGGTTTGGTGCCAAGTATGGGGCAACTGTAAAGTCCAGACCCCAGAGAATTCTGCCAGCTCACCCCTCACCCTCATCCCCACACCATCCATAAGCTGGGGTACTGAGAAGACAGTTCAACAGCCCCTCATTATTTGGGCTCTAGAAAGAGATTATTCATCATTGAGAATATGTTCATTGAACATATTCTTGCCCTTGCCTTCACTATTCCCCAAGCCTGGATTGTCTTGCCTCTCCCTGCCTAAACTGTGGTGAGCATGCGTGCATGCTTAATCATATCTCTCTGCGATCCCATGGACTCTAGTCCTCCAGGCTCCTCTGTCCCTGGAATTTCCCAGGCAGAATACTAGTGAGTTGCCACTTCCTACTCCAGGGGATCTTCCTGACTTGGGGATGAAACTTGAGTCTCCCGCATTGGCAGGCAGATTCTTTACCACTGTGCCACCTGGGAAGCCCAAAACTCATCCCTTATCTCACCACATCCCTAAGCAGTTTTCCCCAATCTAGTCTAGTCTTCCACCTTCCTTCAGTGCAGGTGGGAATTCAGAGCAGGAGCTATTAAGGTGTTTACGGTTGTCTCCTGCCCTGAAGGGTCTTAGTCTAGCAGGGAGACAAGCATGCAGACCATCACTGCAGTGTGACGAATGCAATTCACATTCTCTTTTCCCCGCTACTTATGACATCTGTCCTAACAGAACAGGATGATGGTCTTCTACCTGGTAACACATATTAATTTGCATCTGTCTGGTCCCACCTATGAGATCACTGGTTCCCAGGCTTTTGTGGTTATAAAAATCAACGGCCCAGAAAGCTTTTTTAAAATGCAAATCCCTAGCGAGTGGGTTGGTGGTACTCCAGCTCCCTGCTACTGAAATCTGGTCCAGGGAACAGCAGCAGCAGCATCCCCTAGTAGCTTGATAGAAATGCAAAATCTCCCAGCCTGGAATGAGAATCCGCACCTTCAGAAAGGGCCCCACATGTTAACACAATGCTAAAACCGGAGAGCAAGAGTCTAGCTCCATGCTCCTCTAAGTGGACTGAGACCCAGTAAGAAAAACATTTTATATTTGAGACCCAGTTCACACACATCCATGTGAAACAAAAGCCTCACCAAATAATGCTTGAGATTCGTATCAATATTTTCTATTCTATTTTATTCTTATTCTTCTTTCTTCTTTAATGCTGATCTCTACCACCAAATTGATTTCCTACCCTATTAACACTGATAGCCACCATTTGAAAAACAGTGCTCTCTGTATGGCTGAGACCCTTTGCTGTCCACCAGAAACTATCACAACATTGTTAATCAGCTATGCTATTGCTGTTTAGTCACTGAGTTGTGTCCAGCTCTTTTCAACCCCATGGACTGTAGCTCGTCAAGCTTCTCTATCAAGGGGATTTTTCAGGCAAGAAAACTGGAGTGAGTTGCCATTTCCTTCTCCTGGGGATCTTCCCCACTCAGGGACTGAACCTGTGTCTCCTACATTGCAGGCAGATTCTTTACCACTCAGATTCCCTGAGCCACCAGGGAAGATCTAATCAGTCATACTCCAATACAAAATAAAAAGTTTAGTTAAAAAAATTTTTTTAATGGAAAAACAGTGAGTTCCTGAGTTGTGTGAGCCTCTGCAGAGATGAATCAGAAGCTGGCTCATCTAAGGCAGGGGTTGCATCCATATATTTCACTTTTATTTTACTCTCTGGGAGCGGGTGAAAGGGTAGAAGAAAAGGTATCCTGGTGAATAGCAGTAGCATCAGCAGCTTTGGAAAGAAGAGGGCATCTTCCTTCAGCTAGGCAAGACTCATGTGGCTAGAGACGCCCTTGAGTTTGGGGTTCTACATTAGAGCTGGGAGGCAGAAGTTCCTCAAGCAAGTGGAGAAGCGGCAGGAAGGTGCTGGTCTGGGCAAAGAGCCCAGTCCTTTGACTAAGAGGACCTCACCGGATGAGGCAAAGGTGTGCACTCACCTTCGGAGGACCCAGACGCCTGCTTCCCCTGCTTGAGGACCTGCAGGCTCACAGGAATGTCCAGAAACTTCTCATAGCAATCTCCGTACCACACGAGGAGTTCCTGGTTCTGGTAGATCTCCTTGCAGCTCTCGTAGAAGATCTGCCCTTGACATTGTACTGCCACCAGGTTCTGCTCCGATGGGAAACGGGCACAGTTGACATAGGACATCCAGTTCCCTGCACCTCCTTTCCCATCAATAAAGTGGCTTAACTGACCGTCTTCGAAGATCTAAATGGAATCAAACAAACTTTAGAAATGTACCTTTTATTTTTCTTTTGGTTTGACATAGAAAATAAATTTACTTATTAAAAATGTATAATTCAAATCTCACACTTGATCTATTTGAATATATTTATTATCCATATTATTAAGCCTAAATGGATTTATTAGCTGAAAGATATCTGTCTAGGTGGTGTGACATTTTTAAAAGGGTTTTACTTTTCTCACCTCTTGATTCCCAAGTTTCTAGGGTGAGCATATATTAATTTCATAAACAGAAGCAAAGGAACAGGAGGTTACATTTAATTCTATCAGTTCAAGACAACCAATTTGTTTGGTATTTTGTCTCAAATGAGTTTTCGTGTGTATTGATGGAGATATAATTTAATTCTTTCTCTCCAGTGGGTAATTCTGCAGTCTTCAATGCTTTGATATTACAAACAGATCCTGGGAAGTCTGGATTTCAGATTATTTTCCTAAAGTATATTCCTCAAAATTCAGGGCAAGGGAGGATAATCTGATACAGTCTGACAAACTGCAATCCTACCATCATGCCTCATACAGAGTTAAGAGTAGCTGTTTTTAAAAACCCCCATTAGACAAATGATAGCAAAAATTTCAAATCTGGTCTTTGTCTTTTTGGGCATATTCTTAGCATCACACGGTAATTTTTTTTTTCTTTTCTTTTTTTTTTTTTAATGCGGTAATATTTAAAGTATTTGTTTTATCTATAAATATAACCCAGGGTATTGGGCTCTTTGTATTCCGGGGCTAATCTTGAGATGAAAATGCCTTAAGGCACTGAAAAGATACACAGACTCCATGTGGAGGTAGTATTCCTAGCAGCTCTGCAGTTGCCTTCTCTTCTCTTTATGTTGCAAAACAGACAGCACAAGACAGCTGATTACTGCGAAGAGGGTCCCCTCTCCCAGAGGCGCAGAGGCCAGGCTTTATCCCCAGCGACCCTCCTCCCCACTTTCCCACAACCCATCAGAAACAAATTTACCTCCCACATCAGGGAATTGTCTCCGTGTGTCTTGACTTCGCTGGTGTTGACCACTTTACCCTGAAAGGGCCCAAACTTGACTCCTTTGGCCACAAGACTGCTGCAGAACACCCCAAAATGTGCAACGTCACCAAACTTCGTCTGCCGGAGGCAGAGACCTAGCAGGAGAAAGCAAGTGAAGAAATCGACTGTTTTTGCTGCTGGTAAAAAAAAAAAAAAATCCAAGCCAGGAGCCCTGCCTACCTTCTGGTAGCTGAAGGGAGTCCTTATCCAGAGTCTGAGGAAGAGAATCAGCCCCTAGAAAAAGACAGGATTAAATTCTTATTTTTTTTTAATTTTTATTTTTTAAATAAAAGGAGTTATAAAATGCCTTCATAAGGCGTCTTCCTCCCCACTCTCTAGAGCTTACCATTTGACCCTTCGAGGCTTCCGGCTCTTTTTACATATGCAGTGTCTCATTTTAGACTCAAAAGGACCCTAGTTGTTAGGTGGTAATTAACCCCCGTTAGCAAATTCAAGGAACTTGAGAATCAGAGGTAATGCTGATTTTGACTAAGGTCAGATGGCTGGAGGGAGACTCCCAGAGTGAATGGCAGCTGGCTCTCACTGAGACAACTTGGGCATCCTGGTAGAATCTCAGCCCACCTGATCAGCCCACACACAGCATGAGCCATTTCTCTTAAGACAACCTTGTTGTTTAATCGTTAAGTCGTGTCTGACTCTGCGACCCCATGGACTGTAGCCCGCCAGGCTCCTCCGTCCATGGGATTCTCCAGGCAAGAACACTGGAGTGGGTTGTCATTGCCTTCTCCAGGGGATCTTCCCCATTCAGGGATGGAACCCGCGTCTCCTGCATTGGTACCGGGGAAGCAAAACAACCTTAAGAGTCATGCAGGTAGGGTTTCGTAGGAGACCCTGGCCTCCGCAGCTCTATCTTCTGATGGAAGCACCCCCCCGCCTTTGGCACTCGCACAGCCTAGGATCCACCGCGAAGCGCCCCTTCCGCCTCCTGCTCCCACCTCTCTTCCAGTTGCCCCCGGCTTCCGCATCATGGGGCCCGCCTTTACCGGAGCTGTCGGTGGGGATCAGGAGGCCCGAGATCGCGTGGTGCAGGTGGGCTGAGTGCTGCGGGCTGGGGATGACCCCGTACAGAACCAAGTGCAGATCTTCCTGGGTGAAGTGGTAGCGGCGAGAAGCCTTCCCCTCTCGGTTCACGAGTTTGGGGCCATCCTCAGAGGGCTCGCTGGGGGACCCCGATAACAGCTGCGAGGGCTTCGGCCTCTCAGGTAACAACGAAGCATCTACGGGGGGCGGCGGAGCGAAAGTCTCAGGTCTCCAACACTGGCCACCGTCGCTCCGGCCGGCGGTGTGTACCAAGCCCTCGCTGGCGGCGGCGGTAAACTCGCGACTGCCGTTCTGGAAGTGCGGCCCCTCCCTGGGGAGGTGGGGAACTGGGTACCAGGCCGGCAGCTTGCTGTACCAGGGAAGGTCGCACAGAGGTTCCCTCGGCAGGGCCAGGCCCGGGCTCAGCAAGGGAGGCGCGGTCCGGAAGCCGAAGGGGGGCAGAGCCGGGGACGCGGCCAGGGCCTCCAGCGGCCGGAAAGGCTGGAAGCCCTCCTCCGTCGCGGTCAGGGTGTTCCCGTAGAGGCCGTAAGCCGGGAAAGGCGTGTAGTAGGCAGCCAGGTGTTGGGGGCTGCCCTGGAGCCAGTCGGGCGGGTAGTATCCCTTGTCCTGGGGTCCGGTCTCCCCCGGCGGCCGCAGGGCCATCCCCGGGCCACGGCGCTCGGCGGGTCTGCGGAAAAGCAAGCGCGGCCGGGTGAGGGGCGCGGGGCGCTGCAAGCCGGCTCCTCCGCGCCCAGCCTCCCCCGCCCGAGTCCAAGGAAACTAGATAAACTTCCCACTTCGATTCCTCAAGACCTACCCCGCACACGAAACAAAAACAGCAATGAAAAACACCGCCCCCCTCCCAAACAAAATAAAAACGAAAATCTGCCGGGATTCTGTCCGACCCCGAGTTCCGGCTAAGTGTCGCCTTCGCGCTCCCTCTACAGACACACCTTGACCGGGCAGCGCTCGTTTCCAGCACCCACGCTCGACGCCCGCCGCAAACCCGGCTCGAGCAAAATCTGCTTCAAGTTCCCTCCTCCGCCCTCTTCCCTGTCCTCCACACTCTCTTTTCCAGGATGGGTCGGAGCCGCAGGACCTCCCCTCTCACCGGGGCGGGGGCCGAGTGCTAGACCGCGCCTGGGGGCAGGCAGCAGCTCCGGGCGCTCCCGGGTCTCTAGCAGAAAGGGCAGGGCCGAAAGCCCAATCGGATCGCGTAGGAGTCGCGCTCCCCTAGCCCGGCTGCAGGTCCCGGGAGGCCGCTCCGCTGCGAGGCCAGGGTCTGACCCCGAGGACCCCGGCGGTGCCGGCTGCGAAGAGGAGGAGGTGGAAGAAGTGAGTGCCACTTTCGGCTCCCCTCTCAACTCCGGAGCCAGCGCGGGCTCCCCACGTGCGCCGAGTCCCGCCACATCCCCCAGGTCCCTTGGGAACCTTGCCACCTCGCATGGGGACTTAGGGATCCTGGGGTGGCCTCTCGGAAGTAGGCGACGACAACAAGCCCCAGGTCAGGTGGGAGAGAACTGGCTCCAGCCCCCGCGCCGCTGCCGCCCCTACCCGAAAAGGACAGCTTTTTAGTGGACAGAAGTTCACCAAGCCTGGAGGCCGGAGCCGCTTCAGGGCAGGCGGGTCTCGAGGGCAAGATCAATGAGCCCAATAAGGAAACCAAGCGGGGTCGTGACTCAGAAATTAAAGAACACGGGGTCAGGAGAAGAGGTCAGCCACGACGAAGGCATTTACGCGTCCCCTTCTGAGACTCCCCGAAGGCTCTCGGCTCACCTCGAGGACCTGCGACTTGGGGTTGAAGGCCGCTTAAGCGAGTTAAAAAAACAACTCCGAGAGGGCAAAACGACCCCTCAGAACGACCTGCGCCAGAGACTACTGCCTGCGCTTCCCGACCACCCCGGCGGGCGACAGCCCCGGGCCACAGCTGCACGCGGGGCTCCGCACCCACCTTGGAGAGCGCGCAGCCGGGCTAGCGGACGCCCCGGGTCCGCGGAGGGGCGGCGCGGGTTCAGGATCCGTAGGCTTCGGGCGGGCCCGCAGGGCTGAGCCGGGTTTAAGAGGGCGGCGGGCGGGCGGGGCAGCGGGACCCGGAGAGGGCTAGGTTGGGGAAGGGACGCGGCCCACGCGGGTCCCCGGGGCGCGGCTCCTCCCCGCCCACCGCGGCCATTGGCCGGCGCTGGGCGCGCCCCGCTCCCAGGGGGTCGCGCACTTAACTCTTCACTTCTCCAAACCTCCCCGGGACCCCGGCGGAGAGCGCTCGCCGCCCGCTTTCTGGGGCGGGCACCGGTGCAGCTCCAGGCTGACTGTTGATGTTCAGTCGCTTAGTCGTGTCCGACTCTGCGACCCCACGGACTGCAGCACGCCAGGCTTCCTGTCCATCACTATCTCCTGGAGTTTGCTCAAACTCAAGTCGATTGAGTAGGTTATACCATCCAACCATCTCTTCCTCTGTTGCCTCCATCTCCTCTTGCCCTCAATCTTTCCCAGCATCAGGGCCTGTTCCAATAAGTCGGCTCTTCACATCAGGTGGAAGTATTGGAGCTTCAGCTTCAGCGTCAGTCCTTCCAGTGACTATTCAGGGTTGATTTCCTTTAGGATCGACTGGTTTAATCTCCCTGCAATCCAAGGGACTCTAAAGAGTCTCCTCCTAAGAGCAGCAATAACCGTGGGCAAGTGTGGCCGGGGTCCCCAGACAGGCCCCTCTGCGCTTACAACCACCTGCACCCGCGCCCGTAAGGCTGGGACTCGAGTCCCGGGGTCGCGCCCATGCCTCTCGGCTTCCAGTTCCCAAAAGCCGAACCTGGCCGAAAGCGGCGTCCAACCCCTAGGACCCGATGGACATTTGTCCCTGACACCTCGTGGGGAGCGGGCATCGCCCCCTCAGGGCTCAGATCCGGATGGGCTCGGCGCCTGTGCCGCTCCCAAGGTTTGGGGGACGGGGGAGATTACTGAACCCTCTTGGGGGCTTTTTGCTTCTCCAGCATCTTTCACTGTTGGAGAACCGGCTCGCGCGCCGCCCGGCGGTCCCTACCCCCGGGGAAGGCACGCCACCTCCGACGCGCGGGGCTTTTCAGACCCAAACCCGGCGCTCAAAGACCGCATTTTTATTCTTCTCGCCGGCTGTTGAGGGAAAGAAAGGAACACTTAGACCCATTCACATTCACACGGGGAAGCATCTAGGGTGGGGGAAACCTTGGTCAGTCCCGGTGACCTTGGGTCTGGTTCCTCGCCGCCCCAGCCGCCGCTTCCTCTTGGCAAAATGGGGCGAGCCTCTAGGCGCAGAGGTGTGGGCTGGAAGGAGAGACGGAGACCCTAATGCCCGGCTTGGCTTCGACTGTCTAAACTGACTAAACCTGGCGGGAAGGAAAGGAGGCGGCATCCATCCGGCAGAGAGAGGCCACCAGAGGTCCTCAAGTCGGTGGAGAGAGGAGGCCTACGGCGGAGCAGGGCTTCCTCCGTGACCCACCCCACTTACCAGAGCAGCAGCGATGCGGCTGGCGCCCTCTCCTCGAGCCCCGGGGACCTGACCCTGTAGCCTTCGCCGCCCGCGAGGCAGTGCGGGGAGCGGGAGGGCGGGGAGGAAGGCTAGCCCGGGACCCCGGGTCTTCGAGGGCGCAGGCTGTGCGCGCCCGGCTGCTTCTCCTAGCCGCCTGCCACGCCCACGTGAGGGGCCGGGTCAACTCGCCAGCGCGATGCGGTCGGTGTCGCCCGCGCAGCCCCGGGTCCAGACCCGTTTCCCAGCCGCCAGGACGATCTGAGAGGCGGGCGGCGTGGGGTTTTCTCAACAGGGCTGGGGTGACAAGGAGCCCAGGATTTCCTTCTCTCCTGGTTCTAGACTCTCTGCCTCACCTGAGTTCTTAAGATCTTGGCTGATAGGTGAAAGATATCTGTCGGGTCTTGTCCGAGGAGCCTCTGGAGAGGATATTGTACTTGGAAATGCAGAATAAATTCTGCCGTCTTCCTTCCGGAGGCAAGCACATCCCAGGACCCCCACGACCTCCCTCCATTTACTGTGTCTTCCTCCCAGACCTCACTCTAGGATTTAAGGACTGATGAGCGTGTACTTGGGTGGTCCCTGGATGTTAGGTCCTCAAGGGACCATTTTTTTAGTGCAGTTGCTCACTGGTTGTAGCTTTAATTTAACCTTGGCAACGTGAACCTTACCTTATAAGTGAACCTTGTAAGTCTTGTTCTGCAAAGATTCTAGATTTTTAAATATTTTTAAAATGTATTTTAAATTATAAGCTTGCCTGTTTACATAGTTTAGAGATATTGACAAAAATAAAAAAAAAAATCCCCACCCACCCCTCAACCCTACTCTGCAGAGGTAAAACTGACCAGTGGTTTGGTTTATTCCCTACCTCCATTATTTTTTTTAAAAACACCAGACTTTTATTTGTGTTTATATGTGGAGGATTAAAAAAACAAACAAACCTGGGATTAACTTTTCTCATTAACCATTAGTTTTGTTACTAACAGTATATTTGTGTTGTTGTTAGTTAGTCCCTAAGTCATGTCAGACTCTTTTGCGACCCCATAGACTGTAGCCAGCCAGGCTTCTCTGTCCATGGGATTTCCCAGGCAAGGATCCTGGAGTGGATTGTCATTTCTTCCTCCTGGGGATCTTGCTGATGCAGGAATCAAACCAAGTTTCCTGCATTAGGAGGCAAATTCTTTATCACTGAGCCCCCAGGGAACCTTATAATAGTTGCATGGTGCAGAAGCTCATTTTATGAGTACACCCTTAATTTTTCAGTATCCTCTTACAAAGGTACTTAAGTTGTGACCAGTTTTTCAACACTTCGAGCTGTTACTTCTGGGAACGTTGCTATAGAGATACGTATTTGTACTACTGCCTGCAGAATAAATACCCAGGTGCTAAATCCTTGGATCAACAGGTATCAACAGTGAACATTTTTATAGGTACATGAAGCCATTACCAATTTATGCCTCCATCAACAATGGGTGTGAGTGCCCTGGGTCTCCACACCCTCACCTAACACTGAGTATTGCCAGTCCATTAAAGCAGGGGTCCCCAACCTCTGGGATCTAATGCCTGATGATCTGAGGTGGAGATGATGTAATAATAATAGAAATAAAGTGCACAATAAATGTAATGTGTTTGAGTCATCCAGAACTGTTCCCCCGCACCCTCCCCCTGCCAGTGGAAAGGTTTTCTTTCAGGGAACTGGTTCATGGTGCCAAAAAGGTTGGGGACCACTGTGTTTAAAGCTGCCATCTCTCACATGGAAAAGTGTATCTTATTCTAATTTGCTTTTTAGTCATTTACCCAACAAAATCCCTGAACACCTTGCTGTTGATGTGCTGGTCACAGAGAATACAGTTGTGAGCAAACCAGCTCTGTCCAGCCCTGGTCCTGAAAGTGGTCTTATGATGATGATACATATTTGTGTGAATACTTGATGAATGTGTAACTATGAGCTGTGATCCAATTAGAGCAAAGAAGAAAGTATAAAGAAACAATATAAGAGAAGAGGAGTGTGTCCTGACTTGAACTGAGAGGACAGGGATGGTTCCTCTGTTCCAGAAAGTGTGAAAGATCTGAAATTAACTAGTTGATGAGAGCAAGTGGTCATCACGTGTGATTCCAGGTCAGTGAAACACTTGGTGCCAAGGCTCTGACACCTGGAAAGCATGTG